TTCTCAAATATATTTTACTTTGATCAAAATTTACAATTTAACATAATTGGCATACAATATTTTTCATCATTCTCTTTAATATCAAACAACTAAACTAATTATGGAAGAAGACATTTTAAACTATTCACCAACTGTTATGTTTCGTGGGACACCTTGTATTTGAAAATACATTAACTATGCATAAATATATGAACAATTTATTTTGCTTGGTTCATGAAAAAATATGTAAATTATCTATGGCAATAAACACAATAATTATCATATTGTAATTCACTCTATTTTACATTGATTTATCTAATACAAAATAAGTTATTTTCCGGCAATCACAGAAAATACAGACTTTCTTCGCAATTTCATAAAATCGAAATTTGAGGATACATGTTTTTTTGTGATGTATAGACTAAATACATCACAAAAATTACAAATAAATCAGATGAGGGTTCATTCGTTTTTTGAACGCTCAATAACGTCAGCTGTCGCTTTACCTCTGCTTCTGCAACATTTAATATTTTTTTACGAAATCTTTAGCAAAATCTCTTGGAACTCTAATTCTTAAAATATTTACAATACTATGCGTACTTGTCGGAACACGATATTTTAACCTCCAATTTACTTCCGCCAAGGTTATAATGCAAGGAAAGTTAAGTGCAGTTGCGTATACTCTGCGTACATTTTGAAACCAGTTCTCTCTGGGCGAAATTTGTAAACAAGAATAAATGCATCAGTGTTCGTTTAGTATGCGAGGAGGTTAAGGGCATTAAATTTTGATAATTTTGATAATTCTCATAATAGTTTCCTTTGACCAGAATATGTCATTGATCAGGCTTCGACATGCGTCTTGTGTTTGCATTGCCGCCCAGAGACAGTACACTGCAGTACACAAGATGCGTACACATCTTAAATAACTTTCCTTGCCTTATAACCTTGATTTCCGCCCTTCAAAAGTAAACTTCTTTGTGTCACAAGTTATTCGTACATTTTTTATGACCCCTGGCGAGGGGGGGCCGGAGGGGGGTATGATACATTTCAACTATCAAAAATGTTCTAAACATGATGATGGCAAACTGAATTAAAATTTTTCCTCCCCAGAGGAGGAAGGAATTGTCACATAAATTCATCAACATATCTCCCGCACTGTGGACAGGAATTGTCACTATATGCTGATGCACTTCCCATAACAATCAGCTCACATGTTAAGCAGGAATGCTGTTCTATAAATATAAACATCAAATATAAAAAAATACTGTTTTCCCAAAAAGTAAAACAGAAAATAAAAAAAAGCACAATTGTAAAAAATGTAAGATATTAACTAACTGTAAGCGTAATTTCAAGTGACCCTCCATGCAAAGATGGCAATGCCTGATTTACAACGGTACCCTTAAAAATGTTGTCCGATCAAGCATGCATTATATATATCAATGTTTTTTTTTTAACTGTTTAGTGGTGTTTCTGGTAGGTTTCTCTGCAAAAATGACTTGCGCATTTCTTGTTAATATCAAAACGACGGTATATGCCACATTATTAATTAGATTAAGGTTTCAAGGTTACTGTTGTAAATCAGACATTGTCGTCTTTGCATGGAGGGTTGCTTGAAATTATGCTTAAAGCCCCTTTTATGGAAAAAAATGGTTGAAAAAGTAGGATAAGACGTGGTTATAAGATAATACTGTCCATTGTCCAGGGTAAAATAGTATTTCTAAAACTATTTTATACTCGGGAGACCAGCTGTATCTTAGAAAGGAATTGAGTTTTTGCCACAAAACTCTAATGTTCATTCCCTATATCTGTGCAACCTGATGTCATAGACCTTGAATATTTCAAACTTTGGATTCTGTTAGATCAAAAAATATAAGTTTGAAATATCAAAGGTTTTAACCGCCAGGTTGCAAAGAAAATTTAATATTGTGGCAAAGACTCAATTCCTTTGTAAACAAGGTAAGCAGTTTATATTATTAGTGTTTTAGATTTGCTCTTTATATATAGCTAGTCTGCTGGACCAATTGTTAAAAACCAGAAACTAAAAGAGACTGTAAGCGTAATTTCAAGTGACCCTCCATGCAAAAAACGGTAATGCCTGATTCCCAACCTTTCTCCGATCTGTAATGTTAAAGATATTGTTAGGTTTGTTGGGCCGCTAATATTGTTATTTCCTATAATTCCTATATGTTTCTTGCAGTACAAGTGTGCAAGTCCCTTTCTGAAAGAAACCGCAATTGAAAATATTAAGTTTTCAAAATAAAAAACGCTGATTTCTAATTCATAGACCTGATTAGAAAAAAGGTTTTAAGGGTATAAGATCTGAATAAGCCATTGTAATTTTTGCCATTTTCAGAAAAGATAATAAAGGACTTTGATATTTGATTAAACTTAAAAATTAAGCTTGAAAAATATTTAGCTTACCTCTATAATCATTTTCTGTCACAAGACTATTTGTGTAACCGTTTCTACAAGTAAATATTATTATACAGGGTGTCCCAATAAACATGGGAATTCAGTGACGAATTCGATATCGTCCTTTCAAATAATTCTTTGATTTAATACGGTGATACCTATACTGAGAAAGTTGTAATCTATAAGAGTTTCGTCTGCTATGTTTACATTTTGTTTATTTATCTTTTGACTGCATACGGTTGTACTTAGTAAAACAAGAAAATTGCAGTATGCAAACAGAGTAAACTTGTCAGTCTTCACTGTTCATCTTGCGGAGATATTATAGACACATCTTTTCATACAATAAACTCTAGCAGACATAATAACATTATGGCTTTTGAAATTAGGTATTACAATTCTAATTCATAACAAAGACGATATCCAATTCGTCACTGAATTCCCATGTTTTTTTGGGACACCCTGTATATACTGGGAATAATCATGTAATAATAATGATAATAATAACAATAATAAATAATGATAAGAAGAAATATTATACGGAGAGAACCAGATATCTCTAAATGAGGAAGACGACTTTTAGGCACAAGTTAGGACTTTCTATAGTCCAATAAACATGAGACACAGCAATGTGAAGTGTAAACAGACCTATTTCACATAATAACTAATTTAATAAAACAATTTACTTTGTAACAACATAAAAAAGACTTAATGATTGCTTAATTAAATGTCGCCTTCCTTTTCAACATTTTTCTGGTTTTCACTGTAATACACAATAAAAATATTAATATTAACAATCAAAAATGGATGTATTTATAATAAATATAATAATGATTATATATATCCAATGCAGGGTGTCTCACTGTACATCACTAAACATGACAATTTAAAGACGCCGAACTGTAAAAAATTAAAGTAAATTTAAAGTAAATATGAAGTAAACATGAAGTAAACAAGTAAACATGAAGTAAACATGATATAAACATGAAATAAACATGAAGTAAACATTCATTATCGTACTTAGTATCCTTCAAATTTTCATTAAAAATGGGGCACACTATAAATGTAATAAAGTAAAATGTTTTAAGACGACAATAAAAGTCGTCACTTGATTTCCATATAAGAGGGAGGATCATTTTTAGAAAGCTTTGCGTCCATTCCAGATTAACAATGTGCACGTATTTTTTTACCTGTATTCCCATCGGCGTTTGTTTGCATAGTTAGGGTCCATGTAGGAGTCCGAGTGTGTACTTGCAACCGTAAGCTGATTCATTCTGAAATGTCATCTTCTAATTTTCTATATTTCAGCTCAAATGTCGTCTTCTAATTTTCTATATTTCAGCTCAAATGTCGTCTTCTAATTTTCTATATTAAACATATTATGTTTTTTTGAATATGATGTTGACAAAGATAAAATGTTNAAATATTTACAATCATATTACAAGAACTTTACATACTTAAATCATATTCCAAGAACTATGAATATTTACAATCATATTCCAAGAACTATAAATATTTACAATCATATTCCAAAAACTATAAATATAAACAATCATATTACAAGAACTATAAATATTTACAATCATATTCCAAGAACTACACATATCTAAAATTCTAAGAACTATACATATTTAAATCATATTCCAAAAACTATAAATATTTACAATCATATTCCAAGAACTATAAATATTTACAATCATATTACAAGAACTATAAATATTTACCATCATATTCCAAGAACTATAAATATTTACAATCATATTCCGAGAACTATAAATATTTACAATCATATTCCAAGAACTATAAATATTTACAACCATATTCCAAAAGCTTTAAATATTTACAATCATTTTCCAAGAACCATAAATATTTACAATCATATTCCAAGAACTATAAATATTTACAATCATATTCCAAGAACTATACATATTTACAATCATTTTTCAAGAACCATAAATATTCACAATCATATTCCAAGAACTATAAATCTTTACAATCATATTCAAAGAGCTATAAATCTTTACAATCATATTACAAGACACATCATCCAGACAGAACAAACACTAGGCTAAGAGAATATCAGAAAGATGAAGACGATGATATTTCAATAACTGTAAATATTTACAATCATATTCCAAGAACTATGAATATTTACAATCATTTTCCAAGAACTGTAAATATTTACAATCATATTCCAAGAACTATTAATATTTACAATCATTTTCCAAGAACCATAAATATTTACAATCATATTCCAAGAACTATAAATATTCACAATCATATTCCAAGAACTATAAATATTTACAATCATATTCCAAGAACTATGAATATTTACAATCATATTCCAAGAACTATACTTATTTAAATCATATTCCAAGAACTATAAATATTTACAATCATATTCCAAGAACCATAAATATTCACAATCATATTCCAAGAACTATAAATATTTACAATCATATTCCAAGAGCTGTAAATATTTACAATCATATTCCAAGAGCTATAGTTATTTACAATCATATTCCAAGAGCTATAAGTATTTACAATCATATTTGCAAGAGCCTTAAGTATTTACAATTTACTTTCCCCCCCCATGGTGGGAGGTAAAGGACGGTGTATCCCTGTTTTCCGGATGGAACACCCTAGTTTCATTGATTTGGGTGAAAAACTTAAATACCTTCTGCGACCTAGAGTCGACCGCAATGGCTGTGAACTAGCGCGTCCCAACATAATCATCGTTTCCCTCCCATCCTACCTCGGGGTTGTGGGCCCAGAAAGATACATGAAGGAGTTCATAAGTTTTAAAAAATGGATTCAGGAATACATTACTAGCGGGAGAGATTTCGACACGCGGAATACCAAGGTTTTTAGATCCTATAACGGTCCCGTAGAAGTCTACGAAGGTTTCTCTCTCTTTGTAGAGGGAGATTTTGGACTTTCAGAGTCCTACGCGGTACTTAATCGCTCCATGAGCATTAACAATGCAATTGAACCATCTCAAAATCCCGGGTTTTTGTTCGATACTTACCGCGATTTCGTCTCGAAAATTAACAATTCGCAGCCGAGGACTGGAATGATCGCATATGTCAGTGTCCCTCCTGCAAGAGCAGATTTTCCGGTATATGAGGAGGATTTATTATACCCTGGTATTCCAATCGGATTTCAAAACAACAACGGATCCATATCAGAATCAATTTACAGCGGGTTTAATTGTGAAATTGCGGAAAAAATTAGAAGGAGATATACCGAACTCGGGAATGCAAAAGAGCTGCATACTCTACCACAACCCCTTGATTTCGTTATCAAAACTCACGATGAACTTTCAGAGCAGATGTTTTTGTTTGAAAATATTCTCCCCTTTCCGGAACATCAAGATGACTTGCGACCGCTAGTCCACGTAATAGGCCATTCAAACATGAGATTTTTAACTGAAGAGCTGAAAACTGTACTCGACGGTGAGTTGAAGTTCACAGAGTACACCCCAAAACTTGATTCAAACAAAACTGAGATTGATTCTTTCTTTTCCAAGTTGAGCCTTCAAGAGTCAGATACAGTTGTCTTCTCGGGATTATCAAATATGCTGCTCCAAGGTTGTGAATATGTACGGTTCCATGGAATTAAGCCAACAGGTTTACCTGCTCGGCATGAAAAAGAAAAATTATCCCGTGGTTCCGTCCATCATCTCATATCCGTTGCACCTTATGACGCGTCATATTTCAATTTGTTTGCAACGCACATGGAACATATCACTGACGGAAGGTTCAACCATTCTAAAGCAAGGTTTATTAATATACTTCCCTTGCCCCGTTATCAGGATAAATGTTGTGATAAGGCAGGACATTTCGATGCATACTATGACGGAGGTGATCTTTGCGCCGAAATTCTGAGACTTGGAGTCTATATGTCAAGGTTAACATGCAACAAGTTTGCAATATGCATAACTCCAGAGGATATTTGTCCAAGGGATAACTGGGGTATCCGCGGTGAAATGGTTGGCAAAGATCTTGTCCACTTGACTGAAACTGGAATTAAATTGTTAACTGAAGTAACGCATAGAGCAATTCTGAGCTTGGAATACATCCCTCCCCCCACCCCCGAATCCAGGATGGACACTAATTGCCACATCCCTGCAGGTCTTAGTTTTTCCGAATGGGTGTTATACTTCCGAGACGTGTGTGGTTATGATTCTATCAAAGCCACTAGTGCTTCGAAGCGCAAACACCAATTCAATGGGGTAAAACCTACAGCAAAAAAGCGCTGATCGGGTACACTCTGTATTGACAACAAGAGCTAATAGAAAAACCCACTCTCAGTTGTGTGTCTTTTCCCTACATATGAGGTGTCAAATCCGCTTTTACTCCTTCTTTTCCAATCCAAAATTTCCAAAATTTCCAAAATTGCCTAGAATCTGATCACCTACAAGTCCTATGCATAACCTGTTTCCGAGAAAAAAAATTATCTAAAAATAGCATTTAAACATTTGTGAACAACCAAGACTTCTCTCAATACAAGAAAACTTTTTAAACAAAAAAAATAAAAAAAATGCTACTGGCAAGATCAACCAGATATTGCATAAGCACTAATTTGTGTGATTTCATGAACTACCTATTGAAGCAAACCAAAAAACTACAAACCGGTAAGATCATATATACTATACGGCCATGGAATTTCTTCAATTTTATTATCTTCCAGCAATATTCACCTTGTGGAATATATACACCGTCTTCCTTCAGCCTTCGTCCGAAATCTCTCTGAAAAAAATTCTTCTTTTTTTTCCAATATTTAGAATACATCATACATCTTAATAAATTATTCAGATTTATTTTTTGCATGCATCATCCTTATAACTTTCCTCAGAAATAGACCGGGTTAAAAAGTCTGTCTAGTACTTAAAACAAGTAGTTAATTATTTATAATTATTATTTTTTGAAGAAAATGCTCATATACTTTGAAATAAAACTTAAAGTTGTCGATGTCAAAATTCTATAGTTGAAATTTTTAATATCAAGATTCTGGAGTTAAAAAAGTACTGTCATAATTTCAAACCTAAAGACTTTAGTGACAAATAGAATAAATTTAAATATTTGATGGTTATAACCCAAGATCTAAAGATTTCATTGAGATAAATAGAAAATTCTAAGCAGTTTATTCATATAATTCAAATTCTACTGATCCTTCTTTTTGCCTTATATCTTGAAATGAGGATTATAACGACCTAATTGGAGATATTGGTGACATCATTAAAAGTTCTTCTTTCTACTTAGTTAAACCGAAACCTGGAAGCTAGCGGATCTCGGATCTCGGAGCTGACGGATCTCAGAGCTGCACTTCTCAACGGAAAAAATAACGTTAAACTGATACCTGGAGGATAAATGAGTGGCGAAACTCAGAGGATCTGGCGGATCCCATAGCTTCACCTCTCAGCGGAAAATAACGGTAAAAAAATTTATTTCCATAAGTTCCCTGGAAGACTGGCAGATTTCCTGCATTATAAGCGAATTTTTAATCCTTTTTATACAGAGAGCAGGGACGTGCACAAGGATCATTTTGGATTATAAAGGTCGAAACCCTTTTGAACCAGAACTAAAGTACATGCTATTTAAAATTATTCAATTAAAATTTCAATTCAAAGTATGCTATGGCAGTTGTCTAAGTTTAAAGATTTTCTCATCTTTTAATCTATAATTTGACACTTCAGATTTAAGACATCCAGGATATTAAAGTATTCTATAGTGCAATGTTTTAACTCATGCCTCGACTTCCAATGATACTCGAAACTCCAGAATTAGAACTCTATCAACATGCTTAATTAAACCCCTGACAGACTCGAATTTTTTCCTTTCGTCATGGTTCTCTCTTTACCTAGTTAAACTGAAACCTGGAGGACGAATGAGCGGAAAACCTCAGAGAACCTAGCGGATCCTACAGCTTCATCACTCAGCACATAATAATGGTAAAAAAATATATTTCCATAAGTCTCCGAGAAGACTGGCAGATTTTGAGACAAAGATAGGATCGAGTCCCGGTTTGGATGGATACAACTATGCTACACTTAAATTTCTATGGCCTTTAATTGGACACCCTGTAACCAAGGGGTTTGAAATTATGGTTGAAAAGGAAGAACTGTATCCTAATCTAAGAACTGCAAGTATTAAGCTTATTCCTAAGAAAGGAGATTGCACACAAATTAAAAACTGGCGACCAATTAGTCTTTTAAGCAATGTTTATAAGGTATTTTCGAAAGCATTTGCCAATAGGCTCAAGCGTGTAATTGACTCAAACACATCCGTTTCCCAAAAAGCCTACTCAAAATCTAAGGTCATTCATGAAGCTTTAATGAATATATTACAATGCATTAGGAAAGGAAAACTTGAGAACAAGCGGTTAGCACTATTGGCAATCGATTTCAAAAAAGCTTTTGATTCTGTATCGCACGAATATATTCTTGAAATTTTGAAATTTTTCAACTATTCCGATTATATGATAAAAATAGTCAGAACAACAATGAAAAAGAAAATTGCTGGCATCATAACTGAGTCCGGTGTTATCGATTTTTTTGAGATACTGTGCGGAGTAGCACAAGGCGACTCACCATCAGGTTTGATTTTCATACTAGCACTAGAACCTCTGCTCTGGAAGCTTACTCTCGATCTAGGTGTTGTTCATCCCGTTTTCGAAAACGGCTCTTACATAGGTGATAGTAGTTATGCGGATGATGTCTCCATACTCGTAAACGGCGAACCTGAAAATATTTTGAATGTTAAAAATATACTTGACGCTTTTGGTAAATTATCTGGCTTGAAAATAAACGTAGAAAAAACTCAGGTTTTACCAATTAATGTCTCACCTAATTTTGCTGAAAATATTGCTGAAACTGGCTTTTCAATTGTACAAAATTTAACAATCTTGGGGTTGGATATAAGTGAAAATTTTCATTTGGAGGAAACTAATTTTATAAAGCTCATGGTGAAAATTAGAGGAATGTCGTTATTCTGGACAAAATTTAGACTCTTGAATGTTGGTCGGATTAATATCGCAAAAACATATGTCCTTTCACAAATAGGGTTTTTCGCCCCTGTGGTCGCATTTAGTGAGACTCAATTGCAAACACTCAGAAATGAGATTGGCTCCTTTGTACGAGGGAGTTTGAAAATAACAATAAACAGGGTATACAATGCAATACATCAAGGAGGATTAGGAATGATTGGGATTGAATCTTACATAAATGCGATCAGGGTTGGGTTTTTTAGGAAATCAATTAATAATGACGATTTTTGGGCGAAAGAAATTCAGAGTTTCAGAACATCTGAAGATTTTCCGTTTCATTTTAAAAGCTCAATAGCAACGAACACTCCTTGCGGAGAACTGTCAGTTTGTGTTAGGACATTTTGTAATGTATTCTGGTCGACAAATGGTAATTTTCTTGACATGAGAATATATGATAATGACATTGCAAGACTAGAGTCTGGTGAGAAATTAAACAGAAATCATTTCAGAGAAAATCTTACACACGAAGAAGTAATTTTGGTTAGAAAACTAAGATTTGTCAACCTAGTAGACATACTTAACAGGGATACTTTCTCAGAAAATAGTCTAACAGTATACCTGGGGTTCCGACCTAATTTATTAGAATTATTCTATCTAAAATCGGTACATAGAAGCGTGAAGAGGAAATTTTCACTGAATAAGGACAAAGTCTGCACACCTATCGTTACCTTCTTTAGGAAAATAGTTAAAGGCAGCGTTAGGATAAGGAAGATCATGGATAATGTTGAGTCAGAGATTGGGCCGACGTCTGGTTTAAATAAGCGCATCTCCCTAACAAATTACAACAACGCAGATCCCGAGAGAGATTGCAACTTTTATAAAATTTTTAAAATCTCGAAATTAAAAAATAATCTACGAAGCTTTATTTTCAATTTCACATCCCAGACTCTTTACCATAATGCAATGATTGCACATTTTGTTCCGGATCACGACCCATCATGTCAACGGTGCGATTTTGGAAAACTTAGGCCTGCACCTAGAGAAACTATCTCCCATATCTTCTGGGACTGTCCCATAATAAGCGATATTTTAACTGATTTAAACCGAATAATATCTAATGGAGTCTTATCTTATGAAGAACTAAAAATGACAATATTTCTAGGCTGTACTATTCCAGTAACTTTTAATATCGAAACTACCAACATTATTTGCTTTATAGTTATGTACTATATATTTTCTACAAGGAATAATAGACGAATATACAATACTTCCAAGTTAAAGCAATTTCTTTTCTACCATACTTCTAGAATTGACAAACCCTTGTTTGTTGAATATGAACACGAAACCTAAAGTATTTTGTCTTGCAATGTACAATATTATCTTAACCAACGCCGCGGGGTGGACAATAATAATTGCAACTACCACAACAAAGGCTTCACCATACCAAACCATGACGTTACTACACAAGGCAAGTCAGCCATTTTGTTTTGACCTTGAGAAGAAAAATTTAACTAAGTTAAAGTGTAAGCGTTGCTCTATTTATATCAGAGTAAAGAAAACAATAATATTTAAATTGAATTCTTTATCAATAGAGAAGTCAAGCTGCTTTTGGTTTCTTAAGTTCTTAAACGCAAATGTAAATAATATACTTGTTAATCAAAAAAGCAACCTCTTTGTTTCACTTTTATATGGTCTGTTTTCAATGCAAAGTGATATATACTACTTTTGCAATCATGAACACAACTACTATGTAGTACTTTTTATAACAATTTTTTTAAATAATTCAACTATGCTGAATGTTCTTGAAAGTCTATCTAATAAAGATTATAATTTTACAAATTCCAGAGAATACTCAACCATGTCCGAGCCAATGGACCTCGAGGAAGAGATGCCCCGACCTCCCTCTCCTGGGATGAAGGAATACGAAGCCGAGTTCCCCGCCCTTAATGTGGGTCCTGACAACAAGGTTAGTGAGGTGGTTCTTGATATCTCGCTTCTCGATACGAATGACCAGGACCGAATAGTCTCGCATGATGGCAGGGTGTTCAACCGGGAAAAAGGTGGTTTAACTTTTAATTCGAAGATTGAGATTAGCCCCCCCGTAAAAAAAACATCCTCGAAACCTATTGGTAACCAAGCTCTGAATACCGCGCACATTGAGGGTTTTAATGAGTCGAATGAGCTCAATCATGAGATAATCGATGAAAACGCAGGGATGCCTGAAATCCTAGGGAATGTCCTGCCTATTAGTCAAGACCTTCAAAGCAAACATTACGCGCCGTATCTCTCAATCAGAGAGTCTTTAATGAAAATACCTTACATTAGGAAAACTGTCATACACAATCTTCCTAAAGTATGCTTGCCATTGTACCCAGTTGATTATCCATTGTCAGCAATTGTGACCTGTAACGACGGCAAGAAGGCTATTATAAACCGGATTCNGATTATCAAATATGCTGCTCCAAGGTTGTGAATATGTACGGTTCCATGGAATTAAGCCAACAGGTTTACCTGCTCGGCATGAAAAAGAAAAATTATCCCGTGGTTCCGTCCATCATCTCATATCCGTTGCACCTTATGACGCGTCATATTTCAATTTGTTTGCAACGCACATGGAACATATCACTGACGGAAGGTTCAACCATTCTAAAGCAAGGTTTATTAATATACTTCCCTTGCCCCGTTATCAGGATAAATGTTGTGATAAGGCAGGACATTTCGATGCATACTATGACGGAGGTGATCTTTGCGCCGAAATTCTGAGACTTGGAGTCTATATGTCAAGGTTAACATGCAACAAGTTTGCAATATGCATAACTCCAGAGGATATTTGTCCAAGGGATAACTGGGGTATCCGCGGTGAAATGGTTGGCAAAGATCTTGTCCACTTGACTGAAACTGGAATTAAATTGTTAACTGAAGTAACGCATAGAGCAATTCTGAGCTTGGAATACATCCCTCCCCCCACCCCCGAATCCAGGATGGACACTAATTGCCACATCCCTGCAGGTCTTAGTTTTTCCGAATGGGTGTTATACTTCCGAGACGTGTGTGGTTATGATTCTATCAAAGCCACTAGTGCTGCGAAGCGCAAACACCAATTCAATGGGGTAAAACCTGCAGCAAAAAAGCGCTGATTGGGTACACTCTGTATTGACAACAAGAGCTAATAGAAAAACCCACTCTCAGTTGTGTGTCTTTTCCCTTCATATGAGGTGTCGAATCCGCTTTTACTCCTTCTTTTCCAATCCAAAATTTCCAAAATTTCGAAAATTGCCTAGAATCTGATCACCTACAAGTCCTATGCATAACCTGTTTCCGAGAAAAAAAATATCTAAAAATAGCATTTAAACATTTGTGAACAACCAAGACTTCTCTCAATACAAGAAAACTTTTTAAACAAAAAAAATAAAATAAAATGCTACTGGCAAGATCAACCAGATATTGCATAAGCACTAATTTGTGTGATTTCATGAACTACCTATTGAAGCAAACCAAAAAACTACAAACCGGTAAGATCATATATACTGTACGGCTATGGAATTTCTTCAATTTTATTATCTTCCAGCAATATTCACCTTGTGGAATATATACACCGTCTTCCTTCAGCCTTCGTCCAAAATCTCTGAAAAAAATTCTTCTTTTTTGTTCAATATTTAGAATACATCACACATCTTAATAAATTATTCAGATTTATTTTTTGCATGCATCATCCTTATAACTTTCCTCAGAAATAGACCGGGTTAAAAAGTCTGTCTAGTACTTAAAACAAGTAGTTAATTATTTATAATTATTATTTTTTGAAGAAAATGCTCATATACTTTGAAATAAAACTTAAAGTTGTCGATGTCACAATTCTATAGTTGAAGTTTTTAATATCACGATTCTGGAGTTAAAAAAGTACTGTCATAATTTTAAACCTAAAGACTTTAGTGACAAAAAGAATAAATTGAAATATTTGATGGTTATAACCCAAGATCTAAAGATTTTATTGAGATAAATAAAAAATTCTAAGCAGTTTATTCGTATAATTCAAATTCTACTGATCCTTCTTTTTTCCTTATATCTTGAAATGAGGATTATAACGACCTAATTGGAGATATTGGTGACATCATTAAAGGTTCTTCTTTCTACTTAGTTAAACCGAAACCTGGAAGCTAGCGGATCTCGGATCTCGGAGCTGACGGATCTCAGAGCTGCACTTCTCAACGGAAAAAATAACGGTAAAAATAGATTTCCATAAGCCCCGGGGAAGACTGGCAGATTTCTTTCTATATTACTAGATTTTAAATCTATTTTATACAGAGGCCCAGGGCGTGTACATGGACCACAATTGACTGCAAAGGTTAACCCTACTGATTCGAATGTAATCTTACTCCTTAATAAGATGTCATGATTTTATATTATTTTATACTCAAAATTGAAAATCTAACTTAAAGTGCTCGATGTCCAAATTCCAAATTCAAAATTTGAGGATTTTAATATCACGATTCTGGAATTAAAATTTACTATCATAATTCTAAAACCAATGACTTCACTGAAAAAAAAATTCTAGATTTAAATACATGTTGGTTAAAAACCCAAGATTTGTGATAAATAAAAAAAAATTTTAAATTTTTATAGATCTGAATTCAGTAAAAATTGCAACTCTAGAATTAGATTTTAGTCTACTTTTATAATTATAAACCTGATGGCCTTGTTGTCAAAGAAAAGAAATTCGTTTTTCTCGTTCTTCATGTTTTTCTCTTTACCTAGTTAAACTGAAACCTGGAAGATAAATTACTGCAAGAAAAACCTCGGATCTGGCGAACCTCAGAGGATCTGGGGATCTCATAGCTGCACCTATCAACGAAAAATAACGGTAAAAAACATATTTCCACAAGCCCCCGAGATGACTGGCAGATTTCTTCCATTATCACTGAACTTTAAATCTTTTTTATACAGAGAACAGGGGCGTGCACATGGATCACATTGGACTGTAAAGGTTTAAACCCTATTGAACTGTAACTAATGTACATACTAAATAATAAAATTTCAAGAGTTTAAAATATGTTCAAAAAATTAAAATCAACCTAAAGGCTACAATGGCAATTTTCTGAATTTAATTTAAGTTAAAAAAAAAATTTTTTATTTTTTAATTTGATATCTCTGATATAAAAGTTTACGAACTTAACCTACAAACTTAATGACCTTACTGCAAAATTCTTTAAAAAATTCTTTCACAGCCAAAGTCTTATTTAATTAATCTCTGACTTTTAAAAGTTTAATCTGGAATATCACATCTCTGAAATTAAGACTTGAAATTATGCAACATCAAGTATATGCAATTTAAATATCACGCCTCTGACAGTAAGGCTTGAAGTTATGTAATATTAATTATTTGCAATTTAAATACTTTGTTTGAGTGCCTGTTTATACGGCTTAAATCCCAAGTCTGGAACTCCAATGATTCTCATTCTGGAATTAAAACTTTATCAACATATTATATTTTAAATCCCAAGAGCCTTAATATCAAAGGGAAATATATGAACTTTCTCTTCCTTCTTCACAATTTGTTTTCTATACCTAGTTAAACTGATACCTGGAGGATAAATGAGCGGCGAAACTCAGAGGATCTGGCGGATCCCATAGCTTCACCTCTCAGCGGAAAATAACGGTAAAAAAATATATTTCCATAAGTTCCCTGGAAGACTGGCAGATTTCCTGCATTATAGGCGAATTTTTAATCCTTTTTATACAGAGAGCAGGGACGTGCACAAGGATCATTTTGGATTATAAAGGTCGAACCCCTTTTGAACCAGAACTAATGTACATGCTATTTAAAATTATCCAATTAAAATTTCAATTCAAAGTTTGCTAAGACAGTTGTCTAAGTTTAAAGATTAAAGATAAAATCTATCAACATGCTTAATTAAAACCCCGACAGACTCGAATTTTTTCCTTTCGTCATGGTTCTCTCTTTACCTAGTTAAACTGAAACCTGGAGGACGAATGAGCGGAGAACCTCAGAGAACCTAGCGGATCCTACAGCTTCATCACTCAGTACATAATAACGGTAAAAAAATATATTTCCATAAGTCTCCGAGTAGACTGGCAGATTTTCTTCATTACCAATGAATTTTTAACCTTTTTTATACAGAGAGCAGGAGCGTGAACACGGATCATTTTGGATTGTTAAGGTTGAAACCCTATTGCACGAAAACTAATGTACACGCTATTGGAATTCATTTCTAACAAAATTTAAACGTTGAGCATGCAATGTCAGTTGTGTTTAAAGATTTTCTTTTCACCCTTTACCCTTTAATTTAATATTTCGGACATAAAACTTTGCTACTGCAAGCAAGAACTAAATGCCAATGTTAAGGTTAAAACCATATTGCACGAAAACTAATGTACACGCTATTGGAATTCAATTCTAACAAAATTTAAACGTTGAGCATGCAATGTCAGTTGTCTAAGTTGTAAGATTTTCTTTTCATCCTTTACCCTTTAATTTAATATTTCGGATATAAAACTTTGCTATTGCAAGCAAGAAATGCCAATTTGTATAAAAAAAGATTTTTTATGTCCGTAAGGTTAATTAAAGAATATAGAAATAAAAACCCTCAGTAAAACCGAGTCTCTATAATTAAAATGTCTTAATAAATAAATCTCTATCGATAATATTCATCTTTAAATTATGAGGACTCTGGTTTAAAATCTGAATCTTTCTTCATACCCTGAATCTTCTCTCACAATAAACTAATGATCTTTTTTTACTGATTCAGTCTGTGGAAACTGTAACGCCTCCTGAACCGTCAAACCTCACCGCCGAGAAATCATGATGTCTCAAGAAGAGGAGATAACTACGCTACATCGATATCTCTAAATCCTTGCACATAAACGTGCACCATACCTTGCTATACCTTGATGATTTGAGAGAAATGAAGAGGTTAAACACTAAACTCTTTCCAATGTTCTAGTCAGTAGCGCAGAACTAATGTTCTACGTGAGTCTAGTTCTTAAGCATAATGCGTCCTTGTTCCAATTGAAATTTAACGCTTCTCCAACAAGCTTTTTCAAATTTAACACTTCTTGATTTTGATGCCTGCTATCGCCACGTTGGCCGTGTAGATTATTAACGTCATAGAGAAAAGAACATGCAGGAAGGAACCATCAATTTTCCTCGCCAGTATGTACCTCAAATATATCGTTTTACACAATTACGTCGGCTATTTAGCATCAAGACAATATAGTTTAACTAGTGTAATGCCATACCAACGTTGAACTTTCAATGTTCTCCGTCAGTACAATCGTAGTTTCTTCCATATTGCATACATTGACATTATACCATTGTTCCATTAAAACTTTATAATGCTTGCTCAAACTGATTTTCCTCATTAAATGCTCAAATTATATGCAGACGATTCTTAAAAAATCTTCGTCACCGACTAATTATATGCAATTTATTCTCTACACTTTCATTGTTGCACTCTTCAATTTGTATGTCTTGCAGGATCCAAGGATCCCTAAATCCAAATTTCTAATTAAAGGAAAAAACGATAAAATGTATCCGTATGATTTTTTATTATTTAATTTAAGAATATATGTACACGTTAGTATCGTAAAATAGTTGTATTAAATACATGTGAACAATTTTGTACAATTAATATAATCTCGATACAGAGATAATAAATATCTAGATCTCAAAAAAAGATCTTTCCTGCGATCATAAATAGTATTTTTTCCTTCTTTCCATCATTTCCAGTTTCTCCCCCCCACCCCTTCTTCCATCCCTCATCAAATCTAACGGATTTATTCTTGTTTGTGTTTAAATTCTATAAATAACCCAAGCCACGCGGAGAAACCCTTGTCCCAGAAACCCGGGGGCTGGTGGGTTAGCCGGCCAGCTCACGGGGGTACTAGGGTTAAATGCTAACCCAGGGTGGAGCGAAATCTGGGGAAAAAGAGTCAGTTGATCATCAGCTCCCTTAAACTGAGGTTCCCTTGAAGATTCCCCATCACTCTGAAACTGCTTCAATTCATAATATTTTATTAGTATAGTATCAACCGTTTTATTTTTGTATCTTTGTAAATAATAAACTGTAAGAAAAACCGACTCGTTGAATATTAATAATACAAGTGTTTTCATTGATTTATTTTCTTTCATATACAATAATACTTAGAAAGAATTTATCAAATGTCGTCTTGACAATGGGTTCTATACTATTTTAAGTAAATCTCAGTATTTGCGAAAATAAATAAATAGCCATGATTATGCGGGAACAGTTTTAACGAGCTCCATATAATCATTTAATTAAAAAAACTAAATATCTGCAACATTCCATTATGAGAAAGTGAAGAATACAACATTTGATGAATTCTTTCGATGTATGGCTTAAATAGCTTAACTTAACTTTATTAAAGACTATAATAAAGTCCTAGGATCTAATAAAACCTTCAGACCTTCAGAAATAAAGAGCTTCGTATCGTCTTTAAAGTTGCATCCTTTTTGGTTTACCTTGTATGTAAATGTGTATAAATTTGTTCCTCTCATACTGTAAAATCAAAACTGTAGGATTTAGAAGTCACCATAGTCGTACCATAGTTGAGCGTGCTATGCTTAGTCCCAATTTCTTCGGATTTCTTTATATTGAAACAATCAGAGTTTTATTGTTAACGATCGACTTAAATCAGATCTCAAACTTTTGAATAGACAGATCAGCGAGAACTGTTTAACTTTTATACATTATTCAGTTCTCTGAAATGGAATGCAATTAATATGATTTTTATAGGCTTTTCACTCCAACCCACAGTGAATGTTATCATAAAAAGACTTTCAATGGTGAAAAGTGTTTCTTGTACAGACTTAGAGTGATGACCAGAAAACAATATAATCGAAAGACGACATTAAGGCAATACTAAGTGTATTTGATATGTTGTTCCTA